CCGCCAATATTTTCATTTTGTCGAGCTCGAGTAATAAGATATTATAGAAATTTACATTCTTATCAGTATATATAGTTGAAGGTCAGTATAGTGTGCTGACTAGTTACGTACAAAACTTGGGAAGTATCTTTGGGTGATCAGTAGAACGAAAGTGTACTCTTATAACACAAGTCATTCCTATATATCGATAAAATTTATTATCATCCTCAAGGAAAAGCTACAAAATTTGTATGATGATAGTACAATATAAAAATTGTTATGAAAAGTATCTAAACCTACTGTTAGTGAGGATGGCCGTGTTACATTCAAACAATTGAAACATGTCAATACAATGAAACAAGTCATTACATTAAAAGAGGTTGAATCCTCACTAGATATAAAGAAGATTATTGAATTAATTTACTAAAAATCGTTATTTGTTTTGAAATTATGGATTACCAGATTACCACATGGCTTTAATGGAAATTGGGGATAAAAAAATTGCTCCTAAAACACAGATCCATATTCAAAATTACAAAGTTGAATGTGAACAACAATTTACGTGATAATTGACAGAGGGAGCGGTACTCAACTTGGTTGCTCTTCCCTAACTTTATCGGAATTTATTCAACTCTATCTCTCACTGTTCAGGAAATTTTGCCATGCAGAGATTAGATCTATGCTCGATGAGAACTAAATCAAGGTAGAAAATTTGATTTAGATGAATAGTATCAGGATGTAATAATCGACAAAGATGAAAAATATCAGGTTAAATGTATTGAATACAAAAACCTTTTGTATTGAAAGACTACATATTCAGAGTTTTATTTACAACAATTTCGTTTATTCACTGAACATCTTATAAAAAGCTTCGCATTACAAAGGAAATATCCTTTTTCAGGAAACTGCATAGAAAATGTATAGGGGACTTTCAGTCTGGTGTATGTTTTATTTGAATTTTTTTTACGAATACCATGATGTACAACCCGACTGTTAGAATTCCATTTCTCACATTAAATATTACCTTTTTTTTATTTCAAGATAAGCGCATCAACCACTAGGGTTATAATCGCATCAACCACAAGGGTTATTAGCGCTACGTTACATTTCACATTACATGATTATTGTGTTCAAATTAAATGATACATAGTGATATTTGTCAAGAATGACATGAGATTTTCAATACTGCAAGTGTGACTAAGAGGTTCTCGTAGTTCTTTCGGTATTTCGAATTCTATTCTTGCTTCCTGATATTGGGACAAATTTGAAGAACGTGTTTCACAGTTACTGCTGTATCACATACCGGGTGTCCCACATTTTATGTGACAGGCAATATCTGGTTTGTTGAAGGAGATACACAAAAATGTTTCATACAAAAGTTTAAGGAGTTCATGAGAGCTATATTTTGATATAATTTTTAAATATACAGGGTGTTTGGTGTAGGTGCTACAGACCAAAATTCCATTTTTTAAAATAGAA